AGTGCGCGGCGCCAGCCCCGCGCTCGCTCGGCTCCCACCCGCCGCTTCGCCGCTTCTCGCCTAAGTCTCGGTAGGTGAGGACTGCACAGCTTCCTCCGGGCCACTGGAGGACAAAGGCCCCCGATTCCGGAGTTATGGGGCTAGCCGTCAGCCAATCAGGGCCCGCCTCATTTGCATGCAATGCACCCATTGGCTTATGCAAATTAGCAGACTTTGACACTCAGACCCTAACTCCACCAGCCCAGGCAGAGTTGAGCGGAAGGGGGCGGAGCTACGCGGGAGGGAAGCCCCCAGGGATGAGAGTGGGGCAGAAACAAACCGGGTTGGCGGGGTCCTGAGCCAGCTCTGGGAGTTGGTGGAGCCATCTGGTGAGGAGGGCTTTGCGGTGGTTCCAGTGTCCTCAGCTCGTACTGAAAACAGCCTGCCAATTGTTTTTCTAGTTGTGGAGATCTTTTGATGGTCGTCTCGTGTTGTTTGTGTTAAGGGGCTGATTTTACAATTTATTTCCAGGGTTAATGCACCCTGGTGTAGCTGTTATTAGTAAGCAGATGGTATTTTTAAAGTGTCCGGATGTGCCACGCAAAACTTGCTTCAGAAGTGTTGTTTATATGTTAAGTTTCAGGCAATGCTGATTTTTCACAGTAGTATTCTTTTGGTGCCCTGATGGCTGGCTTGATTTATTTTTGGTTGGGTGCAAGAATTTGAAGCTCCAAATAGAAAACCCAGCACACTGGTGTGTGGTGATGGCACGGTACCAAGTTGGAATCTTTTCCACGAAAAGCTGATAAAACTTCTGCCCACTCCATATAAGGTGGGTGGGGGGAGCTGGTGATCAACATGCCTAATGAGCCAAATTTACCATTCTTAAAATCTTTCCCGAGGGCACCTTCTGATCAGGCAAGAGCTGAGAGACAAATTGTGGTACTCACAGGAGCCACAGTCTAAATTCAATATGCTTATGCCATTCCCTGGTCGCCCCTTCACAGGCAAAAGAGTATGACACCACCTTCCACTGCCTATGATCTCACTCTGAATTACTGATGCTGAATCATGAAGCTGTAACTATAGAACATTTTAGCCATGTGCTAAAATTTCACCTTTGAGATAATGGCAACTTGTAGGTGGAAGGCAAACCTTCATAACTGCAAGCAGGAGTCACACATTAAAAACAATTTTTAATGTAGACTTTTACTGAGTACTTCAAAAGTCCCTTTGTTTTATGAGCTTATTTGATAAATACAAAAGCATTGCCTGATCCAACTGAAGTAACAAAATTGCCTCTCATCTGTTTGAATTCATAACAGTGCTTATTTTGAGGTCACTGTGCAGCTAATAGTTAGCAGAAGTAAATTTTGCAGGGGTACATATGAATTTTGCATCCTTCAATTTTTCTCTTGTGGACAAAATATTTTCCAATTTCCTTGCTCTTAATGGAAAAGTGATAGGTTGGTTTTCTAGTTCATTTATTGGAGATAGACTTTGTATTCATTCCCTAAGGGCTTTGTCACGGAGAAGCAATGTTGAGTAAAGGAACGAGTGTCAGTGTATGGTTCACCCTAGGGCGTTAGTGTACCTCATACCTGTACTTTAAATCTTTACATGGGATGTGCTTGTTAAAGAGTTTCTCAACATTGGGCCTAGGAGTCTAGCTCAATGGTAGAGCAGTTTCCTAGCATGCTCCAGGCCCAGGCCCAAAATTTTATCCCTAGTCCTGCAAAATAGCAACAAGGACAAAAGTGCAACATTCAAGTTTAGGCTTCGATTGTGATGGTTAACAGTGATTGTCACCTTAATGGGGGTCTAGAATAATCACTAACATAAGCCTCTGGGCATGTCAGTGACAGATCATCTAGATTAGGTTAATAGAAAGGGAAGACCCCTCTAAATGGACAACAATATACCTTGGGCTAGGAGTCACCACTGCATATCAAAAGGACAGCTAGTGAGCATGGGCATTCTTGGCTCATTCCTGACTGGGGATGCCAGGTGAACAGCAACTTTCAGCTCTTGCTGTCAAGCCTTTTCATGATGCACTGTACCCAGGAACTAAGAACTGCAATAAACCCTTCCTTCCTCAATCAGGTATTTTGTTCCAGCAATAAGACAAGTAACAACACAGGCAAGCACTAAAGCATTTTCAACTTTACAAAACTAAAATCACACAAAATGATCTGAGTCATCTTTTGGAGATAGGTGAACTGTGTTCCCTAGAACTCCAGGGTTCTACCTATTAGAGATTTCTTAGAAGTTCTCTGGAAGGAATTGTGATTGCAAGCTGAACTGAGAATTGGAGCATCATGTGACAGCAGAGACTATGACTTCATCAGCTTTGGTGTCCTCAACACCCAGCACAAGTCCTATATTCAATAGCACAGTGGGTGTCATGAGTTGAAAAGAAGCTGAAAATTAATCAACACCTCATAGTCCCACAATCCTGTGCATGAATTCTCAGATAACCCACCTTTAACATTACTTCGAAACACAAGCACTGAACTATTCCTGGTCTTTGGCCTGCAAAGATCTCATGATCCAGTTGTCATATACATTGTATTAGTCAGGGTTCTCTAGAGTAGCAGAACTTATAGAATGAATGAGTGTGTGTGTGTGTGTGTGTGTGTGTGTGTGTGTGTGTGTGTGTATGTGTGTGATTTATATGGGATTTATTGGAATGACGTACAGGCAGGCTATGGTCCATCTAGTCCAACAATGAACAGAAAATGAAATACAGAAGTTGCTCAGTCCATGCTGTCTTAGCTGGTCTTCAGTACATGCTAGAATCCCAAAGAAGTAGGTTCTGATGTCAGTGAAGTAAGAGACTTACTAGCAAGGCTAGAGTAAGCAGGTAAAGAGCAAAAGCTTCCTTCTTCCATGTCCTTAAATAGGCTTCCAGCACAGGCTGTGGCCCAGATTCAAGGTGTGTCCTCCCACCTGAAGAACTATGTTAAAGGTGTGTGTCTTACCACCGCAAGATCCAGATGAAAGGCACGTGTCTTCCTGCCTCGGGATCTGGATTAGAAGTGGATCTTCCTATTTTAAGAAAAAAAAAATCCCTCACTTGTGTGCCCTTCATTTTTGAAGTTTAGATTATTCCAGATGTAGTCAAGATGACAACCAAGAATAGCCATCATACCCATGCTTTAATTGGATTTTGAGACAAAATGGTATTCACTGTCATCAGCTAGCTATAACTATAGCTGTCATCAATCCTGTAACTTTCTTATATGAGTGGAAGTGGTGGGACAGTAGAACCATGGACTGTTTACACCAATCCAGATGAAACATTGTAGAATAGTGCCCCAATAAAGTCAGTTATATTAAGTTTAAAATGTGTATAAAATAGTAAAATATGCTTTTAACCCCTCAAAAGCTATTCTCCATGCTATGTTTAGCCCTCTAAAATTGGCATTTTATCCAAGTCTTGAAGGAGTTTTCTGGTATTCAAAAATAATCATGCCATATTTTCTGACTCAGCTTGTGTCATACTGCCTTATTGCTGAGTCTACCCAGAGTGTTTCATCAGGGATTGTCTTCTGTGCCTGTTATGGTTGGAAATAGGAAGTACATTCAGCTTCCCTGCTAGCTTGCAGTTGGATATTAGAGACCTGGATCATAGTGTTTCTAATCAGCATATCTCCAAAATGTAAAGTTATTGTATTGGTTAGGGTTTCTTTTGCTGTGGTAAAACACAGTGTGACTGAAAGCAACTTGAGAAGGAAAGGGATTATTTGGTTTTCACATCCTGAACCACGGTTTCCCATTGAGGGAAACCAATGTAGGAACTCAAACAAGGCAGGAACCTGGAGGCAGAAGCTGATGCAGAGGCCATGGAGGAGTGCTGTTTACTGGCTTGCTTCTCGTGGCTTGCTCAGCCTGCTTTTTTATAGAAACCATGACCAGCCCAGGGGTTGTACCACTTACAATGGTCTGGGTGCTCCCAAATAAGTCACTAACTTAATGCGTTACAGGCTTGCCTATAGCTCAAACTTATGGAGGCATTTTTTTCTCAGTTAAGGTTCCCTCCTCTCATATGATTCTAGCTTTTGTCAAGTTAACACAGCACTATCCAGCACAGGTACTATTTTGTTTGTTTGTAACAAGGCCTCAACTTCTCAATCCTCCTTCTGGAATTATAGGTATGCACTACCACCCCTCTTAATGTTATTTTTCGACTACTCCAGGTAGTCCCAGGTATTGAAGTACAGAGGACTAAAATGACATTTTAGTTATATTTATAAAAATTCTAAATGGTTGTATCTGGAAATTGTGGAAAAATATGAACTAGATAATTATTAAATTATTTTCCTACTTTGCAGATTAAAATCTTTGTGACATCATTCTCATTCTTATCATACATGCATTTCTATTAGTGGTTCTATAATATCGAATTACAGTGTTTCCTTCTTTAAATGCTACTGACAGAAAAGTGCTTGGTTTAGAAAATTACAATGTTTCCTTCTTTAAAAAAGTAGCCGATGCTACTGACAGAAAAGTGCTTGTTATTTCATTGTGAGGTAGGTCACTGTCCACTGCCTAAAACGGAAAATCGTTAAGTTATAAAATCACAAGGCTTCAGCTTTTTGTTGCTCTTGTTTATCTGCGTAGGATTGATAAGGTTATTTTTTCAAAGCAAGCCTGTGAGTTTACCTCCATTTTTCTTACAGAAGATTATTTGGATAAGATTTACTGTCACTGAAAAATGTGTCTTTCCTTGGGATCATCACTTCTCCTTGAGGTTGTTGTGGCTTAGAAATGAAAGGTACCCCCCCACACACACATACACACACACAAGCCCCAAAGTTCAGGCATGGAAGGCTTGGTCTACAATTGGTGGTGCTACTTTAGGAGCTGGGGCCTAGCTGAAGAGGAAGGTAACTGGGGATATGCTTCTGAAGGACATACCTAGTTCCTGGTCCCTTTCTCTCTCTTGCCTCCTTTCTACCAGGAGGTAGGTAAGCAGCCTCTGCCTCATGCTCCCATGTTGTGATGGCCTTACAACAGTAAACAGAGCCTTTGAAATAACTCTGAGCTGTAACAAGTCTATCCCTCCTTATTTGTGTCAGGTACTGTTTTCTTTACAACAATGAGAAGTGTGTCTAAAATAGAATGTAACATGAAAGCTTAGTTTCTT